AATGACCATGCACTGTGAAGAAGCAAAGCTGGACGGATTAGTGGTTGACGACAGCAAAGAGGTTGATAGCAAAAGCACGTCAGGAATCCTTAGAGCACAGGTTCGCCGACATGAGGCCCGACATTGGGTCTATGAATCCAATTTCTATCCGCTCTAAACACCCTCGCATGTCCTGACGGCTGGCGTTGGAAAAGCAAGCAGACAAGAGGGCATGGAGCAGCCTCGGCGCACGAATCACTTGACGCGGCATCTGGGATGTTGATTAGCGAAGATTCCTGACGAACTGATGCAAACAACATTGGGAAGTAAAAGTGGTATCAGAAGGTAGAATACATCCACACGTATTTTGGTATCTCGGACAGGGATAACTGTATTTTTGATGTCTAATTCATCATTTGGGAGGAGGGGGTGAAGGGAAAAAGAAGATCGTCTTACTTGGGATGATGGATGGGACGGGCGTGTGATGTTGGAAGTTATTCACTTGGTTGAGTATCTGAGAATTGAGTCAGTCAAGTCTTCCCGAAGACGAGTCCAGCCATGAGCAAAGAAAAGATGCCAAATCAGAAGGTAGATTACATCCACACATATTTTGTATCTCGGACAGGGATAACTGTATTTTTGAAGTCTAAATCATCATTTGGGGAAGGGTGTTGAGGAAAGAAAATATGACCACGTACCTATTGGGTTGAGATCCGGCCGTCTACTGCTTGGAAAGACGAGCAGCCTTGAACTTGCTGATGCGCTGACCGCCTTCGGCCTCGTCCAGTGGCCGGATCACAGAGGTGTCTTCTTGCAAGAAACCACCCTGTTTCTGGATGAAGTTTCTCCGCTTGCGGTGGTACTCGTCGGCAACGTCTTGGTCGATGAAGTCATCCCCAAAGGCATCGTCGTCCATTGGGTTGGCCTCCTTCTCCACGATGGCATCGGCGAGCGTCTTGCCTTCTGGGCCGGTAGGGGCAGTGGGTCGGTCCTGGTCGAGGAAACGGACAGGTACATCCATTGGACCCTTGGGGACAGCGTCGTCGTCAACGACGGTCGGGGCTGCTCTTTGCTTTTTGAAGCGTGAAGCCTTGCGTGTAGACTTGACTTCTGTTTGCTGCGCAGGGCCAGAGCGCTCAACAATGTCGCTAAGAGGCTCGACGATGGGCTCTGTGGGAACCTCGGGATCGACAGCTGGCAGCGATGTTGTAGGCGTTGTGTCAGGAGCAATATCGAGGTTTTGGGCGAAGCGAACACTCTTCTTGCTGTCAGACTCGGTCGGCGAAGAGGTTCGCAGGCTGGAAGCGACTGGGGAAGGCGTAGACTTGGGAGGTTCTGAAGCCTTGGCCTGCTCGCCACGCTTGATAACGATGCGACCGATGCCTTGCTTATCCTCGTTTTCAGAGTCATCCGCCTCTTCCTCGGCCTGCTCCGTAAAGCGAGACTTGACACCAAGTCGCTTCTCGAGCTCAAGCATCCGCTGATGGTAGCCGTCGTCAAGGACGCTGCTGGTGGAGCGTCCGTACTTGTCCTCTTCCTCGTCCTCGTCAAGGTCAGAGTAGTCGTACTCCCAGTCATCGTCGTCATCGCCGGAGCCTTCCTCGAGCGTCAACTCGGCGACGACAGCCCCGACCTCCTCCATGCCGTACTTGAGCATCTCTCGGCGGAGGAGTGCGTCTTCCTCAGTCTCGCCCTCGGGAACGACAGGAGGCTGCCGGCTGATCTCCTCCTGATCCTTCGCCGTCTTCATGATTTCTTCCACGCGCTGGGCGTTTCTGGAAATCTGAGGCTCTGAAGCCGGCTTGGTGTCTTCCGAGAAGGAGACAGTCTTCTTGACCGGGACGATGTCGTCGACCTTGTGCTCAGACTGGGGCGGCTCGATGGCAGGAACGGGTTCCTCCTTCAGTGCTGGAGCCTCAGTAGGCTTGTCGGTGACATCCTCGACGATCGCTTCGACCTTTTCCGACCTCTCAGTCTTGCCCTCAGGAATGTCCTTGACGCCGGCCTTCTCCAAGATCTCCCTGATCTGCCCACTGGAGTCGCCCGGACGCTGGAGCCGACTAGCAACAATGTTGCCTTCCTCGTCGAGCTCCTCGATGATCTCTGTTATGGGCAGGCCATCTTCGTCGCGCACGTCGGGGTTGCTGACAATGCTGGCGGCGGCGTGCTTCTGCTCGGCAGACTCGAGTTGCTTCTCGAGTGTCTCGATGTTCTTGGACACGTAGTCGATGCGACGCGTCAGAAGATTGACAATCTGCTCAGCAGGCTTGAGGTCGATCCTGCCAAACAAGTCGTTGATCTCCTTCTTGTCGACGACCTCGCCCTCAAAGTCCCGGCGGATGCGCGCGAGGTGCTCAGAGCTGGCGGGTTGGGGAGCAGACTCGATCTCCTCTTTCAAGGACTCATACTCCGCGTCCCATTGTCGCCAGTGCTGCAGAGCCTTCTGCAACTTGGCGATATTGTCTTCAAGTTGCAGACGGTGCTTTTCGAGGTCGAGAAAGCTGTCTCTGACTGTGGCCATGGTGGAAGAAAGATGGGAGAGATGGATGGTCGGAAGAACAGGGTCGACAAGAAAAAAAATCCAGCGGAGCATGGAATTTCGGAGCTTGGACTGGATTAGGTAATCGACTGGCCAGGGTCGCGTCGCATTACGTAAGTGGGGTCTAGGTTGCGCGTGCCCATTTTCTTGGTGGGGGTGCCGTGGATGCCTGCTTGTCCCACCGATCTCACCCAGATCATGAAGCTCAGGATCAAGTGTCACACAACGACCTAAGCCTAGCATTTTCAAATTTGTCCATTGACATGTCTGTTCTAGAAGGAACTCAAGCTAGCCTTCTGCCTTAAAAATCTCAGTCTCCTGCCTAGAGCCTTCTCTTGCACTAAGCTCTCGGCCTGACACCAATCAAGTACTTGTCAGACTTGAGCTGCAGGCTTACCAGAACCATTGTCTCCCGAGACTGGCCAGGCACGAAGAAAAAATCATATCTCCTAAGGAGGGAAGCCATCGTAAGACGAAGCTCATTCCACGCAAATCTGATGCGATCATTAGTATTCTCGGTGAACTCGAAAGGCGTGGGAGATCTCACTGTTTGCCAATGCAGTTTCTAGACGCCGCAGAGAATGGGTAGTACGACATCTTTTCGGCGGCTGGAACGCCTTTGTAATTAGAGAGCCACCTTTCGGGAACGAAATCGTCGGCGTCGGGCCACTCCTTCTCATCCAAGTGCAATGGGAACGTGTTGGCAGTAATGGCAGTCTTGGTCGTGTTAGATACCCTAAGCAACAGCGGCTAGGCCGGGAGACAACTTACTCCAGCGGGAAAGAGATGCCCAGCCAGAACGATATCCTCATCAGTTTGTCTTTGTAATCCTACATAGACGTCAGCAACTGCAAGCCTTCGCCAGACGAGAACCTCACCAGAAGCTGCTGGTGCTCTGAGCCTCAAAGTCTCCTTCAGAACGGCGTTGAGGAACGGCAGATTCGCCGTCATTTCATTCGTCACTGGCGGGCTTGCCTCAGGGAAGACTTGGCGGATCTCGTCCACAAGCCTTTTGTAACGGACCGGGTCGTCCAAGAGGAATATGAATGCAAAGATCAGCGTGGTAGCCGCTGTCTCGCCACCAGCCAACATGAAGAGGAACATCTCTGCCATGACTACCTTGTCTGAGAAGTCTTCTGGATTCTGGTCGTGAGTGTCGAGGAGCAACTGCAGGATATCAGGCTTAGCTATCTTGTCTTGCGAAGTTCTCCTTCGCGCAATGACCTCGTCGACCAGCCTCTTAAGCTCGGGGTCTTGCGACTTTGGCAGGAAGGGGATCCAACGTAAGAAAGGCAGGGTTTGGTACTTGACTCGGTTAGTTGGGCTATACTCAATGAGCCGGGTTCACAAAGGACTGCTCACGACAGCGTTGCGTCTGAAGTTCTGCGACATCCTCAAACGGATGGGATGCTCCCCGTTCTTCACCAGTTTGAACGAGCCTCCAAAAGAAGTCTCGCTCATGACATCAGAGGTCAAGCATCCAAAGAGATGCCAGATGTCGATTTCTGCCTTCCCGCCGGCGGCAGCGGCGCAACGTTCATCAATCACCTCCTCCAGATCCCTGATGCAGCTCATCATCATCGGCTCGAGACCTTTGATGTAGCTGACCGAAAAGCCGTGGGACAGCAGGCGTCGCCGGGTGCGGTACTCTGCGCGGTCTCGTATCGTGAATATCGTCGCGATGTCTTTGTCCTGGCGGAACTTCTCGTACGCAGCGCTCTTGCGGAGGTCTTTTTCGACGACAATTTGGTGGACTGCCTCCTTGTTGGAAATCATCACAACGTTGGGGGCTAGTGGCAGAGTCAGTGCTGTGAAGTTTCCCAAGGGAAGGCAGTGATGCATACCGATTCTGACAATTTCGCCGTACTTCTTTGGATAGTCGACGCACATTTGTCCTGACTTGCCGGTGATGACCGTCAATTTCCATGGAACGGCGGTGAATCTGTTCAACCACGGCCCAGGGACCTTGCTAAGCGGTCCTGTGAGGCCGATCCATACCGCCTTCAAGATCTCGATGCCATAGTAGACAAGAGCAAGCAAACCGAAGACCGTGGCTGCAGTCTTGAGATCTAGACCAGGTTGTCCGAGCATCACATTGCTGTTAGACGAATCCATGCTGAGATTCTGTCCACCGTATAGCAGAAGTCGACGCGAATGTGATGCCTCAACAAAACCGCAGCGTTGTTGACGCGCGGAGGAAGATCTCCCTCGACTTTGTCAAGGAGATGGAAAAAGTCTGGAATGAAGGGACTTCAGCTGCCTGGCTCAAGACCCGACAGTCTGGATGCTGGGATTACACGTGTGGCTGAATCCCAAGCTTACATACATAGCGCTTATGATTGGCAACTTCGGAATGGGACTTCTGCCATTTCAGATAACAATGGCTTGTAAATACCCCTGCGAAACGCAGAGATTGCACACGTCAGACGTGTATTCCGCCATATCAACAGCCAATTGAGCCTTGTGCATGAGAAGGATCGTCTCACCAATCTCGTCAAGCTGACCGGGTTCGATGAAATCAATTGGGTGCTACAAGTCCAGGTATCCTATCACCTCACCTTGAGCCTTCGCAACATCTCCATAACCTGTTTGAAGCTGTTAGAGTCAAGCCGCCTGATGTATCCCACACCCAGGAAACAGACTGTACCAGTCATCGTCGCAAACAGAAGCGAAGCAGCCCACAAGTCCCAATTCCGCGCCTTCCAAATTGGCATTCTCATATCCGCGGTCTGGAGATGCATGGGCCGGAGTTCTTGGCCACGTCTGAAGCGTAGCTCGTGGTCGTGGATGACCTCCTCCACCATGTCAGCAGCAAGGTGCTTCCTCCGCGAAGCGACGCGCGCAATTCTCTTCATGCGCTCGACGTTTCTGGCAATCTTGCCTTCGGGGTCGACTACAATGGCCCAAATTCGGCTGGCCATCCCCTCGGGCGTCAAGTCAAACTTGTCCATGGCCAGACCGACTCCCGCCTCGACCAAGCGCGCACTGTTAGCGAGCTGGTCGAAGAAGTAGCCCATGACGAGAACGGGCTTTCCATGGAATAGGGCTTCGTTCGCGCTGGAGCTACCTCCGTGAGTGAGGTAGAGCCTGGTACTGGTGTGCTGTAGTATGGCTCGCTGCGGCGCAAAGCTTGTGACGAGAAACTCCGAGTGTCTTCCATCAAAAATCCGCCCGACTGTCAGATTTGACCCACACTTCCTCACAAAAGAGGCCGTCGTATCGGCACGTCCCTTGGCGGCTGCTGGCATGGACCATATCACGCCGTTGATGTGCCCCATATCCAATGCTATGATGAAACCACGAATCAGCTTGGCCAAGTCCTCGTCAGGGAGGACGATGTGGGTGCCAAGAGCTATGTACACAGTCTTGTCATGAGACTCGAGGAAATCCAGATACATATCGTCGAGCCCAGCAAACTCATCGCTGAGTATCGGGCCTACCGGAACCATCAGAGGCGGCAAGTCCTTGGGAGGCTCAAGACCGAAGAACGAGTTGATGAAGACGAGGTGATTCGGTTTTGCAGCCACTGGCAACGCGTGATGGACGCCCTGCCGCTTCCTCAATTTCTTGAACCACCGCGTCCACGCCATGATATGCGGCAGAGCCCAGAACAACACCATTTCGTTCCTGATGCGCGACCAGATGGATGCCCTTTCCGACGTCGGTGTGAAGTCGACTTGGAACCCGGGCTGGCCGGGTGTGTAGCTCGCCGGGGCCAGTAGATAAGGCATCTGCGGCCACATGATGGCAATGGGCACACCGAACTCGATCATCATATCTTTGGCGGCAGCATCAACGAAGAAGTCGGCAACGATCATGTCTGGCCTAGTATCCGGATCCAGCACCAGCTCACGTAGGTGGAAATAGGCGTCCGGCCAATACGAATCGAAGAGGTACTTGGACTGCATGATCGAGCCGACGCCATCGCTGGGCCGCCATTGCCTCATGCGGGTGTAATGCTGCTCCGCCTCATCGTCCGGGAGGGCGGGGCCGAAGCTATGGACGCGACTGATGGATGGGTAAGCGGAAGCCCAATGTTCTTGACCCGTGTTGGTGCCGAAATGGACCTCGTGGGCGCGTGCCGCAAGGACCGCGCCGAGTTCGAGAACCGGGGCTGCGTGGGTGAAGCCGCCGACGGTTGAGACGAGGAGGATCCTGCGTTTGTGGAAGGTTTCTGGGGAAGTAGCCATCATGTTTCCTGACCAGATGTTTGACATCAGTTCTAGGCTAGTTGAACATGAGAGATAGGCGAGAGAATGGGACAATTGATGCCTTTTCTAGAGCGGCTCGGCGGGTTGCATCATCTCGGCGAGTTTCGGCAGGTTGGTGGAGTGACATTCTCCTGCAGGCAGCAGGGTTCGGTTTGCCATGACGCGCCTCCTATGGGTATGTTGAACGGTTATTTCCCGAGCCATAGCAACAGTTATAAAAAGCCCGATGACTTCGTGAAATGGGCGAAACCCTTCTCAACTCTTGATCCGTGTCTTGAAAAGCCAGGTGTTGGGGATAGCTGGTTGCTCAACAACTGTTTCCCGTTCGTTCAAAGCTTATTTTCCAATTACAGCATCTAAACGAACAGCAGATCAGCCATGGCGAGCTTACTCCTCCTCGTAGACGCCAAAAGAATTCTGAAATTCCAGCCTCGCGTGAAAAAGAAAGCAACATCGTAAGATGAACAAGCAGAAGCTCTGAGCGTCAACTCGGAATCGCCAAGGGCTGCAGCTGGTATCAGCTGTTCACATGTTGCATGATTGTCCTACGACGCCGTCCAGGATCCGGATCCTTCGTCGTCTGCCTGCTGCCACGTTTCTGACCATTTACCAATCGAGGTAAGACTGGAGACGGCACAGTAAGACGAATTCTTGGACCCTGGTCACGTTCTCAACATGTCATCCAAACTCAACGATCGCAACTTCAGCTCTCTGTATCTGTATCGATGACCAGATCAAGTCGACGACCGTTCACAGGGATCCGCCAGGCCTGCGATGCGTGCCACTTTAAGAAGGTCCGCTGCCTGCGAGGTCCGGAGGAGGGCGATGGGCCATGTCAGAAATGCAGCCGCGAAGGCGTCGCATGCGTCTTCAGTCCCGCGCTGAAGACGGGCAGACCACCGAAGAAGCCCCCTGCGCAGACCCGTCCGGAAGCTGGGCCAATTCTGACACCGCCATCGACCTTATCCTCAGACACTCCATCACAGCCTATCGATCTAGTTTCCCAGGCTCTGCCGTCTACGTTGGAAGAAACACCGATCCCCTGGGAAGCATGGGACGGCATGGACATGGGCATCGTCTGCTTCCCGTCGGCAGACTGTCCCCTGCAACATGACTTTGACGAACTGAAGAAGGCGGCAAAGCCCGAAGTCATCGTCCTCAAGAGGCTCGAGCAGCTGTCGGCGTTTCAGCAGCAGCTCGTCGCAAAGAGGAGGGAGCATGCCGCCGTGTTCTCTCGGCATCCTGGGACCGATGCCTCCAGCGCCATCCAGGAAATGCTGCACATCACCCAGAAGGTGACAAAGTTCAACGCCTGGCTGATGATGGGCGGCGCCAAATTCGCCTTTCGCAAACCCATGCTAGACTCCATGTCAGACGAGACGGCTCTGATGATGGTTGTGTCGCCGGCCACGCTGGTCCTAGAGGTCTTTGTCGACATTCTTGAGCTGGCGTTTCCATCTCTGAAGAAGCGGCCTTCGGAATCAGATTTCTTGGTATCTGGCGAAGCTGGCGTATGCGCAATCGACCCCGCGCTGCTGTCGAACGCCAGCATGAAAGAGCTCGGCTTCACGCCGGCCGCCGTGCCTGACATTGCATCTGTGCATAATCTCGCGAATCCAGTGTGCATCTACATTCTCCTGACAGCGCTCCAGGACCAGCTGGACTCAATGCGGAAAGCCGTCGAACTGGGTTTGGATTCGTTTCCGAGGATGGATACTGCCAAGGGAGCTCAGGGGCTGTTACCTGCCATCATGGATCAGTACTCTGAAAAGATTCGCTTTGTTCAGGGGCACATCACTAAGGCAGGTGGCGACAATTTGATGGCTGGGCTGGATTGATGTGGTCTGCCTCACGTGGTGTCAACTTCAAGTCGACAGGCCCACAGATCATCCCCATCTACGAATACCCTCTTCCTTAGGAAATCATTTTTTTCTGGATTTGGTTTGATGGTTATCTTTCGCGTCGATATGTCGTGTGTTCGATCTGCTTCGCTAGGCGGGACTAAGGATGGTTTCCGGGTGCGGAGATACTTCAAACTAACCGGCCGGACTACTACCTACTATATTAAAAGACGATTCCTCTAATAATATCTCCATTGTTACTACTGTCGTTGGTTTCGTTGCCGTCTTCTTCTTCGTCTTCTTCTTCGTCTTCTCCTTCTTCGGCTTCGTACTTGATAATGCTGTTATCCTATTTTCCCTATCCGTCATAATAATAAACGAGATTACTGGAGCTGGATCATGTACAGCGGCTCTGGTGTAATAATATGATTGAGGCAAAAGATTTCCCTCTCGCCTTCAAGACGTATTTCACGAGCTTGGCGGCTGCCATTTTAGATGGTCAGGAAATGTGTCGACTTGAGTAGCAATTTATGCTTCATGTATGATGGCCGTCATTCCTGAATCCTCCCCACTTGCAATGAATCGGAACACTCCATCGATTCTTCTCCATATAGACATAAGCATGGCGTCTACAAGACGTTGCGCGACTATGGGCAGCGGCGCAGCTATTCTCAAAAGCACAGTTGTCGGGTTGCCACCGCTGAACATCATATGGAAAACGCAACTGGAATGTGCTCGCATGCAATACAGCAAAACATTCCAAAAAGGCCCCAGCAATTCGCAAGTCATTTCTTGACTCTTTTCATCTGACACTCACATTGACTCGTCAACGTCGCATTACAATGGACTAACACAAAGCTCTTCATTTAGAACCACTCGATTGTAAGTCCATTCCCAAAGACTCTTGCCGGATACGGCAGGCTCAAGCATCCCGACTGGCCGCCGGGATCCGCACCTTGCCGGATGCTGCATGGGTGGGTCTAAACAAGGGCGGGAAGCGCGCGACTCCGCAACTCGCCCACACTCCCTCATAACAAACCAGCAAAAATAATCACCCCATTAAAGAGATTGACTAACTGACTCCTCGACGGGGAATTGAACCCCGGTCCCCGGCGAATCGTTTAATGACAAGCCGATATCCTCACCACTAGACTATCGAGGATTGAATTGATTGGTTGACGGTGGAGCTCACAATGGCAATCATGAAGGGTTGCCGTCCTAGGCCCCACAGGCAAACTACTACAAGATGTTCGCAAAGCAGTGGAATGGCCTTGTTGTAATGCTTTTCATAACTTTGGAAGCTCTGTTGTAAGCTTAGCTGTGGCTCCTTACCGCTTAGTGAGGTGCTCGAATGTGCGAGGCCTTCATCGTAAGTGTGGACAGCAACATGAGCTGGACTTTCAGCCAGCGATGGGAATATGATAGGTATTTCGTTTCCAGTAGAATTTGAATTGGCATCGATGGTTTTACGGAGATAAAGACCTCAAGTTGTGTTAGCTGGGTCTTTCCAAGTTCAAGGGTTTCATTCTCTAGGGACGTTACCTTCGAGACCTTGCCTTTGATCTCGCTCTCCGGACATTCGATTTAAACATCGTAATGACGTCCCGGTTTCAATTGAAATGAGGCAAACCTCAACCAAAGTCTTTACAGAGGATTTATTCTCGAGGCGATGTAGTTCATACGGCTTACGAAGCTCCACCAGAGTTGTGTAATTCTGAAGCTATGAAGTCATGTCCTGAATCAGTGTTGACAAGTCGATCGCGATTGAGTTGCAAGGAGTCGTGTGAAACAGCCGTTCGAGACCACGGTCGAGACTGTAGATCCCATTTCTAGAGCGCACACCTTCGGGCAAGCGATACTTATGGTTCAGCATGGGCCAGCGCGCGGCGTAATCCATCAAGCATGGAGGCTGTCCGGCAAGCTCACCCTCGACAAATCAGACCATCCAACGGCTCCCATCGGAAAGTTCAGAGAAGGGATATCCCCTCACGGGTTGGCTGTGCTCCAAAGGCTAAAAGACAGGGCGCATTGAATACCCGCCCATGGCGAACCTTGGGGTGGGAAGCTGGCTGTTGTCAACTGTGCATGGCCCGACTCATTCACATCGTCCAAACCGAATTCAGACTGCAGTAAAGTCGATAATTAGTTGACTTGGCAAACATTTCAAGTTTGCCATGATTAAAGGAGCCGCCACACCACCCCAGAGCTAGGCTGCGGAAACTAGCAGGCCAGACGCTGCAAGTTTCCCGTCTGCGAACCGCTTTAGAGCGGAGGCATGCCGTCACCTTTATGGAAAATTCAGATGAAACCAAGGCCTTGTGTTGTTCGATGATGGCTGAGCAATAAAACCAAGACGTCTTGGAGTTTGGTGTGCAGACGGACAAGTTGCCATCTCTCTCACTTCATTAGCAGTCCCGATTTCTTCCCGGTTAGCAAACATCCCCGGTGGTTTGTCATCGTCTTCAACATGTCGTTGGATAACCTCACCTTCAAAAGCCACACCATCACGATCGCCAAAGAGGCGCCGTCGCTGATACTGTCGCCATGGAGAGTCTTTGACAAGGTTTTCGCCTCCGTTGCGGGGTATTCAGCCAGCGAGTTCGAGTACGTATACGGCAGCACGCCGCTTTCGACCTTGACGGAGACGCTGGTTATTATCACGCTGTACTTGGTCGTCATCTTTGGCGGACGCGAGGTGATGCGGGAACGCAGGCCTATCGAACTCAACGGCCTCTTCAAGATTCACAACCTTTTTCTTTCAGTTCTGAGCGCAGGACTGCTTCTTCTGATTGTCGAGCAAATCGTCCCGCAACTCTGGCGCGATGGCCTTTACCACAACATCTGCACGTACGCTGGCGCCACCCAGCCGTTGGTCACTCTGTACTATGTAAGTCATCAGGAGTCAGATTTCCATTCCTAACCCCCTAGCTAACGTCTAAAAACAGGTCAATTACCTCGTCAAGTACTACGAGCTCATCGATACCGTCTTCCTGATGGCGAAGAAGAAGCCCCTTACCTTCCTTCACTGCTACCATCATCCCGCGACAGTCTTCCTCTGCTTCACCCAGCTTTACGGCAACACGCCCATCTCATGGATTCCTATCTCGTTGAATCTGCTTGTCCATGTCGTGATGTACT